GGACGAGATGGTAGAAGGGTGGGATGGGGGAAGGAGAGGATTAAGGGGGGGAGGGAAGAGGGGGGATGAGGGAGGTGTGGGGTTGACCCATAACCACGGGGGCCCAATTACGGGCCAAGAGGGTCAAGCGCGCGGAGCGGCTGCAGCGATGAGCGATGAGGAGCGATCGGGGGCGAGGAGGCCCCGGGCCAAAAGCCGCGGCAGGCGCGGCCGTTTGTCACGGACGGATTGCGGATCGCCTTTTGTTTGGGGGTGGGAAGGCGGGGGGAGGGGGTTAGGCCACGGTAATCGGTGCCGCCGAAATTGTTGTCGTTGAGACCCTCAACCACCGGGCACGGCCAAATGAAAAATGGTAATTGTCACGTGGTGCTGCCCGCACGCCAGCCGTGATGACTTCAGGCTCTGCGTGCCGGGGGTGAAATCACCGTTCCCAGATCACCCGTGACCTCCTGCACCTAGCCTGGCACACCAGTAAAACACCACGGCACCTGGGTCCGACCCGTAACCTCCTGCCAGCAGCGAGCCTTCGACACTTCACATGGCCCCAAAGTACACCTAGCCTGACACACAAGCGCAGTGCGCGTTGACATCACCGCCACTTCAGTGGCGAACGGAGGTTGTTGTTGTTGTTGTTGGACAGTCTGCTCCTAATGTTTGGATGAACGTTGACCGTTCAACGTGAGATGCGTTCGGTCCAATTGTGCCATGCACCAAGACGCATGAGCCAATAGGCACCTGCCTCATGAGCCAAGAGGCACCTGCCTCATGAGCCAAGAGGCACCTGCCTCATGAGCCAAGAGGCACCTGCCCCATGAGCCAAGAGGCACCTGCCCATGAGCCAAGAGGCACCTGCCTCATGAGCCAAGAGGCACCTGCCCATGAGCCAAGAGGCACCTGCCTCATGAGCCAAGAGGCACCTGCCCATGAGCCAAGAGGCACCTGCGCAACGGATCTTTTGACAACGTTGCTGCTGCCCCCCCCCCCCCCAACACTGCCTGCGGTTGTCCCGCAGTAAACCGGGCTGCGGGTTGCAGGCTGCAGGCTGCAAGTGGAGGCGAAGAGTGTGGGGTGGGGGGTCGGGGGTGGGGTGGAGGATGGGGGGTGGAGGGTGGAGGGTGGGGGGTTGTGGGTGATGGTGGAGGGTGGGGGGTGGAGGCGTGGAGGGTGGGGGGTGATGGTTGGGGGTGGAGGGGTGGAGGGGTTGTTGGCCGTGGCCCGTGCTCTGTGAGGTGTCATATCCCCACCCCCCGCGGTGCGAGGTGCTGGAGAAGTGAGAATGATGGTTGTTTATTGTTTAATAAATAATAATACATATTCAACAATAAATCAACATTATTATTATTACTACTACCGATTATCCGGAACTCGTGAGCTGTAATTTATGGGATGTGAACGGTACAATAGTGGACACATCATCTGATCTGTATCCTCACTGTTTCTCTCCCCTGCGTCTCTCTCCCTCTCTTCTGTACTTTCTCTCATCTCTTCTTTTATCTCCCCTGCCTCTCTCTCCTCTTTCTCTCTCTGTTTCTTTCCCCTGCCTCTGTCTCTTCTCTTTCTCTGTTTCTCTCCCCCCGCTCTCTCTCTCTCTCCGGCTGTCTGCTCTGTGCCATTATCGCGCATAAACACTCGCTCACTCCTGCAAACACCATCCTTCTCTCAGCGTGTCTCCATCTCTCTCTCTCTCACACACACACACGTTCACACAACAGCAACACTTCGAATCTGTAAATGACGACAAACCCCATCATTACCCTCACCACCACCACCACTATAGCAGCAGAACCAGGGACGCGGGCTGGAAGCAGCCGATTTAGCAATGCCCGCGAGAGGCGGCCCCCCCTTGCTGCAAGCATCCACAGCCGTGCGAGTCGCTGGCTCACAACGACGCCACGGTCCCGCGTCCAGTTTCTCATGAGCCGGTGGTCTGGGGCGGTGGGATTGCGTTGCACGCGATGCTGCGTGCCAGGCTAGGTGCACCTTGAGGCGTTCGCGCGAAAGTGTCGCTGGCTCACAACTTTGGAAGCCCTTATAAGCAGTTGCATTTGGAGGCGCGCCCCCTCTTTTATTTTCTATCTACGTGACATTACCGAAAGAAACAAATAATATCGCTGGCTCGCTACTGGCAGATGCGCCACCTGCCGTGCCGAGAACATTCGCAGGACTTTATGGCGACGGAAATGAGCGGATGCGGTCCCATGTCCTTGACACACAGGACCCACCACGTGGATCTGATCTGCCCACTGACCCATCTGCTTGTCATCTGTTAGATGCGCCCGCCATTCTTCCACTCCGGTGATGGGCGTTCATCCAGGACCCCCATTCGAATCCACAGTGGCCTGGTCCCAGCTCGCTGATGAAAGTTGCAAGCGGGAATTTAATCATCACTGGCATCGTCCCACCCTCCCTCCCTCCCTCCTCCTCCTGACGCCCAGGGGTAAGGTCTGATGTCCAGGATTGTGGCCCATGCAGCTGCAGTGGCCATATTGGACACGCGGTCCACACCTCCCAAGAGCGCTGAGAGAGCTGCAGGCCGACTCATCATCACTGTCACACCGGGTTCATAATCATATTCCCCTCTCACCCTGCCCTCTCTTTCCACACAGCACACAGCTCCCCAAATCCCTTCTCCTCCTCCCCTTCTCATCGTCCCTTATTTTTCCCATGATATAATTTTACCTCCCGCCTCCTCCTCCCCTCCTAGCCCTCGTCTCCGTCCCTATTCTCCTCCTCCTCATCGTCCTCGCTCCCCTCCTTCCTCTCCCTCCTCCCCCTCCTCCTCGTCTTCCTCCTTATTCTCCTCCTCATCGTCCCCGCTCCCCTCCTTCCTCTCCCTCCTCCTCCTCCTCCTCCTCCTCGTCTTCCTCCCTATTCTTCTCCTCTTCCTCATCGTTCTCCTCCTCCTCGTCTTCCTCCCTATTCTCCTGCTCGTCCACCCCCTCCTCCTCTTCCCTCTCCCCCCCACCCGACCCGGCTCACGTTTTGTCTCCGCCCGCGGCGCCCGGATTACCCCACCAAAGCGAGGAACGAGCGGAGGGGGAGCGGCGCGGCTCTTTGCACCTCCCGCCACCCCTCCCCTCCCTCCCCCACCCCCCATTTTAATAAGACAGCCGACACGGGGTGGGAGCAGCTGCGGGGGGGGGGGGGGGCATCAATTCGGACCTCACTCGCCGCTGATGTTGACCGTGACCGAGACTCAAACCTGAGCCCACCGCGTGTCGATGCGATGTGAGTGATGGACGACAACCGCTCCGCCACCGCTCCTCGGCCTGGTGACTCGGGACGGATCGCCCCCCCCCCCCCTCCCCCGCCGTTTGTCGCTCGCAGGCGGCGGTGCTGACACTAGCGCCTCACGGCAAACACTCCTCGGTTCGACTCCCCTCTCTCTCTCTCTCTCGCTGAGTGGAGTCTGCGTGCGTTTTATTTCTCCCCCCCCCCCACCACCACCACCCCCGTTCTGCACGGCTTTCCTCCGGGTTTCCTCCTCCCATAGCTAAACAAAGATACCCCGTATAGCCTTGAAGGACTGTTGGGGCAAGTGCTGTTAGCGAGCACGACGGGATTGGTGGACAAACACACACCACCTTTGTCTCCCCAGTGGCGATGTTTACACACCACACCGGGTACTGATTTGAGGCTGAGTCGACCTAGGGGAGGCCCATGACCGGTTCAGATAGCCGTGAGCGGGAATCGAACTCGGGTCGCAGGATTCGTAGCACGGCGCGCTGACCGCTACACTACCGCTCCGTCGTAGCTAAACCCACACTCAAAGTGGAACTGGCAGCGGCCAAAACCACACCCACAACGGTGAGTGGCCACCTGCAAATCACTCATTTCGGCTCGCAACAACAACAACAGCAACATCGCTCGGACCCACCCGACTAAAGTATCTCGATAAAGCCTCCTGCTACTACTACGTGTTACGCTGAGACCGCTCGGACCCTCCCGACTAAAGTATCTCGATAAAGCCTCCTGCTACTACTACGTGTTACGCTGAGACTCAGGTGGTTTCACCATTCTACTCCCGCGCACGATGGCAGCAGCGGTGAGGTTCAGGAGCCGGATGCCAATGCTGGGGGTTTACGCTCCACGACGAGGGAGAGAGAGAGAGTTCGTGTCGTTCTTCCTCCTCTTCCTCCTCCGTTGAAGGAGCGCACACCACAGTGGGTTTGCTGTGCGGGTCCCGTAGCTTTGGGTTGCATCTCCACAATGGCACGACTCTGGCTTGTCTTGAAACAATCTCCATGGTTCTCGTTGAGTCTCTATGGGTCTCTATGTGTCTCTGTGGGTCACTACGTTCTGTATGTATGTCTGTGGGTCTCTATCTTCTTGCGGATGGCGATACGTTCAGGAGCTGGATGCTAATGTAGAGGTGCTGCTGCTGGCCACGACGAGAGGGCTTCAGCAGAGAGAGAGAGTGAGTGTCGTGTCGTGTCGCTCTTCCTCCTCCTCCGTTGAAGGAGCGCAGACCACAATGGGATTACAATATGGTCCATAGACTTAACATTGCCCGTAGATTTACATTACCAATAGACTAACATTGCCCATAGACTAACATTGTCCATAGGATAACATTGCCCATAGACTAACATTGCCCATAGATTAACATTGCTCACAGAGTACTCAATTATTGCGAATGGCAGCAGTACGTTCAGGAGCTAAATGTCCATGTGGAGGTGCTGCCACTGCTGCTGCTGCAACGACGAGAGGGCATCAACAAAGAGAGAGAGAGTTCGTGTCGTGTCGCTGTTCCTCCTCCTCTGTTGAAGAAGCGCAGACTACCACAGTGGGGTTATTTGTGCGGTCAATCGCATGGGTTGCATGTTGAATGCATCTGCATTCAATACATCTGCTGTCAGGTGTTGAATGATGCCTGGTCGGGTACCCGGGGTCCCGTACCCGAGTGTTCACTTTACGTTGACGATGTGAGTTATGAAGGCCATCCGGATGATGATGATGATGCAAATGTTGATGATTCTGATGATTCGTGTACTTTACAGATGGGTACCCGGTGGCGGTCGAGGGCTCATTCGTGGGCCCAGTCCCTCCTCTTCCTCCTCCTCCTCGCCCTCCTCTGCGCCCCGGGGGCCCCACGCTCGGAGTCCCGCTCCTGCAGAGGCGAGGTGCGACCCGCAAATGCAATGGAACGTGGCTCTGGATGCGGATCGGGAGAGGAGATACGCGGAGACGCAGTGGGAGCGGGCGTGGAAGATGGAGAGAAGGCCGGATCAGTGACGGGGTCTCCTTCTCCTCGTCACCATCGTCAGCAGCAGCAGCAACGTCGTCATCGTTGTCGGTGTAGTTATCATCATCATCGTGGCCATCAGCAAAATTATCATAATCACTGTAATCATTATCAGCATTGCAATCAAAGCAGATTTCAGCACCACCATCACCACCCAAATAACAGTTTTTATACAAAATACCAAAATGCAACACTTAATCATCATCATCATCATTACCACCACCACCACCATCGTAATCAGAATCATCACCAGCCCCACCACCACCAAAATGCTTCCAACGCAATGACTAACGACCTGAATCAACCCCACCGCCACCATCATCATCGCCATCACCGCCACCACCACCGCCATCATCACCATCGTCTCCACCACCATCACCGTCACCACCACGGTCTCCACAATCACCGCGGGACACGCGCGAGGCGCCAGGCCCCCTTCCCGTGGCGTCCAGCTCGGCCGTCCGGCACCCTTGCGCCGTGGCAGCCCCCCAAACGCTGGAGGGCGGAAGAAGGCCCCCCTCAATCGGACCCCTATGCACCCCACGACCCCCTAGACGCCGACGCCGGCTCGTATTCCGAGGATCGTGGTGCGAACTTTAGCGGCTTCAACTGGTCCATCGTGTGGGGGCCAACGCTGCCGGATGAGGAGGTCACGCCTCGCGCCCCGTACCCGGGGCCCCGATGGGGGCTAGGGCTCCAGCCGACGCAGGAAACCTGGTGGGAGCTGCCGATGGTCCCGACTCTAAGTTCCACTCCGGGCTGGGCGACGGAGGATAGGGTCCGCTCTCTCTACACCACGGCGCCTTACTCGTCCACCTCGTCGTCCACCTCGTCGTCCACCTCGTCGCCGACACTGTCGCCCGCATCGACTTTCGCGGCGGCGTCGTCATCATCCGCGACCCCGGCGGGCGCCGTGAGGGGGACCCAGGAGCCCGGGGCCGGGACGAGGCGCGTGGAGCAGCCGAGCCGGGCGGGCGCCGGGTACATGGAGGGGGGAGGTGGGTGGCGGCAGGGACGGTGGTCGTACGAGTGAGTGGGTGGGTGGGTGAGTGAGTGGTTGAGTCGGTATGTATGTATGTTGAAATTCTTCCGCACCGTACGTAGCCCACAGTGATCATCGCAGGTGCGGGGTAAGGACAACAAACTGAACACTAAAAGCTGTTTTAAAGAAATTAGCTCGTCAATATATGATTTAAACGTGCATATATCCAGTGCCTTGCTAAAATCACAAGAGCGTTCCCAACGGCCGCATAAGTGCATTGATCACAGCCAACATCAGTGGCAATTGACATGGATGACTATCGAAAAACCACTACGATTATAACCGGGAATTTGCGTGATGGTTTATGGTCCTTAATGAGATCAGCAAGGTATTGTGGTTAATTTGTGGCAAGCACTTTGTGTGTAATGAGTGCGACCTTACAATGTATTCGTTCGGCCACTGGAAGTCAATGCAGCTCGGGCAGCACTGGACAGACACGGTCGGATTCTGCAGTACCCGTCACGACACGTGCCAGAGAATTTTGGACAGGTTGCAGCTTGGTAAAAATGTTTGCCAAACGTCCCGTATAGTAATGAGTTGCAATCATCGAGCCTTATCGATACACTCCTACATGCCATCGTGTTGGCTATGTCACGACTCAATGGTGGTTGAATGTGCCGCAGAGCACTGATATGAAAATTGCACGACTTTTAGACGTCGTGATCAAATGACAAATTCTGTTGGAGTATGGTCCCGGGGCTCTTTAGATTGAGTAGAAATCTGAATCCTTGAGTCTGCGACTGCTACGCCTGATTCTCCCACAATTTGTCTCGCCTGAGCCCGAGTGCCAACCAGCAGAACCTCAGAATTGTTGTGGATTAAGCAGCGTTTCGTTTATTGCAAATCACACGTGCACCACTCGCATGCAATCTCCGAGGTTACGAGGCTCTCCGTATCTAACTTTGACTTCACTGCGGTGTACAATTGTGTATCATCAGCATATTGATGAAACTTGATGTCATGCGATGAGATGACATCAGCCATCGGAGAGATGTTTGTTGAAAATAGGAAGGGCCCGAGGATGGATGCCTATGGTACGCCGACTAGGCACGGCACAGACAATGACTGTTCATCTCCCAGCTTGACAAACTGTGATCGACCACGTAGGTACGACTCAATTCACCCCAGTGCCATACCTGATACACCGAACTTTCACCTTAGCCACCCGATGAGTATCTCATGGTCGATGGTGTCGAAGGAGGCTGAGAGATCGAGGACTACCAATGCTGCGGCACACCAGTCATCCGTGACCTTGTAGAGGTCATCAGTGATCTTTAGTAGAGCCGTCTCAGTGCTGTGGGACTTCAGTACGCCGACTTCAAAGGTTGAATCTGCTAATCGCAACGTTGTGAAAAAGGTGCTCGATGACCCTTGAAATCACGGGTTTGAGATTGGGCGATAGTTTGCGGGGTCACTACTGATCAAGGCAACTTTTTTCAGGACCAGTGTTACCTGCGACATTTTGAACCTATCTGGGAAACAGCCCTCGCTCAACAAAAGATTTGCCAGGTGGACAATCAGTGGCGCAAGCAATGTCCGAGCACGATTTGAGACATGTGGATGTCGTGGTGCACCGTGTGATGAACATCGACACCTCTGCCAGCGACGTTGATGCCAGAGTCTCGAGTTTTCCATTGGGTCCAGGTTGATCAAACTCTGATGGCAGACGGGGAAAATGCGTTGTCTTCAGGTGAGAAACTTTCGTCTTGATTGTCACTATTCTATTGGTGAAGAACGTCACAAGTACTGGGCACAGATCTAATTGATTAGTTAATGGGTGGTTGGAGTGCAGCAGACCCTTCACAACGTGCCACAGAGCATGGGGGTCACGAGCCAAGTTTCTGGAATGGTCGATATGTCGAGTCCACAAACATTGATCAGATCATGGATCAGAGCCCTCTTGTTAACTATGAAGAGTGTGTTGATCAATCCAAATTGTAGGAGCCCTGGTGCAGTGTTTTGATCGATAATTGACATCAGCAGCAGTGTGACGATGAAGGCACTCTTCTGTGATCATGTGGAGATAGGGCGGAAGAAGAACGGACCAGATCTGCAACACAACAATGTGCGAGGCATTTGCAATAAGTGACGAACACAGCCTGGTAGAGGTCTGCATTTCAACAGCAGATCATAGCACGGAGGGAGCAGAACTCGAGTAGTACACTATACACTACACAGCGTACACTACACACGACACACGGGTGCATTATACGTTACCTACCATCTTACGGTAGCGGGCGTCGTGGTAGAGAGCGTCACGGTAGCAAGTGTCGCATTGACGAGCGTCACGGTGGAGAGCATCGTGGTGGAGAGCGTCGTGGCAAAAAGCAGTGCGGTAGAGAGCATCGCGGTAGCGAGCGTGGCGGGGGACTGCGTCATGGTGGAGAATGTCGCGGTGGAGAGCGTTGCACTGGCAATCATTGCGGTGGCGAGCGTATTGGAAGCGAGCGTCACGGTAGCTAGCGGCGGCATGGAGAGCATCGTGGTAGAGAGCGTCACGGTGGTGAGTGTCGCGGTAAAGAGCTTGGCGGTGGTGAGCGTCGTGGTAGAGAGCATCGCGGTGGTGAGCATCATGGTGGAGAGCGTTGATGTGTCCAGTGTCATGGTGGAGAGTGTCGCACTGGCGAGCATTGTGGTGGTGAGCGTCACGGTTGAGAGAGTCGTGGTCGAGAGTGTCTTAGTAGCGAACAATGCGGTAGCCAGCGTCGCAGCGGACAGCGTCGCATCGGAGAGCGTCGCGGTAGACAGCGTGGCAGTGGCGAGTGTCGTGGTAGCGAGCTTGGTGGTGACGAGCGTGGCAGGGGACAGCGTCGCGGTGGAGAGCGCCATTGTGGAGAGCATCGCAGTTCCGACCATCGCGTAGCGAGCGTCGATGTAGCTAGTGTCAGTTTGGAGAGAGACGCGGTAGAGTGCCACGGTGGCGAGCGTGGCGGTGGCGAACATCGTGGCATGGTGGAGAGCGTCGCTGTGGCAAGCATCGCGGTAGAGAGTGTCGTGGCGGACAGCGTCGTGGTGGAGAGTTTCACGGCAGAGAGTGTTGCGGCGGAGAGCAACACGGAGGCGAGCGTTTTGGTGGAGAGCGGCGCGTTGGTGAGTGTCTTCGTGGAGAGCTTCGTGGCGGAGAGCTTCGTGGCGAAGAGCATCGCGGCGGAGAGCATTGCGGTGGAGAGCGTCACAGCGATGAGCATCACGATAGAAACTGGGCGGCGGGCGTCACGGTAGCCAGTGTCGCGGAGGAAAGCGTCTCGGTGGTGAGCGTCGTGATATAGAGCGTCTTCATGGAGAGCTTCACGGCAGAGTGTTGCGGCGGTAAGCATCGTGGTGGAGAGTATCGTGGTAGCGAGCATTGCGGTGGAGAGCGTCACAGCAGAGAGCGTCACGGTAACGAGTGTCGTGGTGGAGAGTGAGCATCGTGGTGGAGAGCATCGCGGTAGAGAGCGTCGCAATGGTGAACGTCGTGGTGGAGAGCGTCACGGAGGAGAGCGTCTCGGTGGCGAGTGTCGTGGCGGAGAGCGTCGCTGTGTTGAGTGTCACGGGAGAGATTTTGGCAGTGACGCTTGTCACGTAATAGAGTGTCGCATTGGCGAGCACGTTGGTGGTGGGCGTCACGGTGGAGAGCATCACGTCAGAGAGCGTCGCGGTAGAGAGCGTTGCAGTGGCGACCATCATGGTGGCGAGCATCGCGGTCGCGAGCGTCGATGTAGCTAGCGTCGGCGTGGAGAGCATCGCGGTAGAGAGGGTTGCAGGTGGCGAATTAGGCAGTGGTGAGCATCATGGTGTGGTGGAGAGCATTGCCGTGGCGAGCGTCGTGGTAAAGAGGTTGGCGTCAGAGAGCATCGCAGTAGACAGTGTCATGGTGGTGTCAAGGTAGAGAGCGTCGCGATGGCGAGAGGTTTGGTGGAGAGCATCGCTGTGGTGAGTGTCACAGTAGGGAGCTTGGCGGTGGTGAGCATCGCGGTAGAGAGCATCACGGTGGTGAGTGTTGCGGTGGAGAGTTTTGCGGAGGCGAGCGTTGCGGTGGAGAGCATCATCACGGTGAGTTTTGCAGTAGTGAGCATCATGGAGGCGAGCGTCGAGTTGGAGAGCATCACTGTGGAGAACATCACAGTGGAGAGCATCGTGGTGGAGAGCGTCTCAGTAGAGAGTGTCACGGTGGTGAGAGTTGTGTTGGAGAGTGTCACGTTGGTGAGCATCGTGGTGGTGAGCACACCGGTAGCGAGCGTGGCTTTGGAGAGCATCGCGGTGGCGAACATGGCAGGGGAAAGTGTCGTGGTGGAGAGTGTCGTGGTGGCGATCGTGGTGGTGGAGAGTTTCGTGATGGCGAGCACCACAGTGGAAAACATCACCGTGTCGAGCATCATGGTAATCGACCATTGTGCTATTGAGCATCGCAGCGTAGAGCGTGGCCGCAGAGAGCTTCACGGTGGTGAGCGTCGCTGTGGAAAACGTCGAGGTAGAAAGCGTCGTGGTGGCGAGCGTCATGGTAGCAAGCGTTGCAGTGGTGAGCGTCGCTTTGGAGAGCGTCACGGTGGACAGTGTCGTGTTGGTGAGCGTCGCAGTGGCGAGCATCTCAGTAGGCAGCGTGGCTGTAAAGAGCATTGCGGTGGCGAGCACAGCGAAGGACAGCGTCGCGGTGGCGAGTGTGGTGGTGGAGAGCATCGCCGTGGTGAGTGTCGCGGTGGCGAGCATTGTCGTGGTGAGCATCGTGGTGGAGAGCGTCGCTGTAGCGAGCATCGCGGGAGTGAGCATTGCAGTGTTGAGCGTCGCGTTGGAGAGCATCGCAGTAAAGAGTGCCACGGTGTTAAGCATCACGGTGGCGAGCATCCCGGTAACGAGCATGGTGGGGGACAGTGTCACAGTGGAGAGCATCGCGGTAGAGAGCGTTGCCGTGACGAGTGTCACAGTAGAGAGCTTGGCGGTGACAAGCGTTCGCGGTGGAAAACTTCGCGGTAGAGAGTGTCGCAGTGGCGAGCATTGCGGGAGTGAGCGTCGCAGTGGTGAGCATCATGGCGGAGAGCGTTGCGGTGGATAACATCGCGGTGGTGAGCGTTGTGGTGGTGAGCATCCCAGTTGCGAGCGTGGTGGTAGAGAGCATCGCGGTGGTGAGTGTCGTGGTAGCGTGCATGGAGGTGGAGAGAATTGCGGCGGCGAGTGTCGTGGAGAGCGTCGCAGCAGCGAACGTCGTTGTGGAGAGTGTCGCGGCAGCGAGTGTCTCGGTAGAGAGCATCGTAATGGAGAGCGTCGCTGTGGCGATAGTCACCATTGAGGGCGGTACGGTGGCAAGCTTCACAGCAGAAAGTGTTGCAGTAGAGAGTGTTGCGATGGCGAGCATCGCTTTCGAGAGCATCACGGTGGGGAGCGTCACGGTGGAGAGCGGCGCAGTGGTGAGAATCGCGACGGAGAGCATCCCGGTAGCGAGCGTGATGGTGGAGAGCATCGCGGTGTCGAGCGTGGCAGGGGACAGCGTCACAATGGAGAGCATCGTCACAGTGGTAGCGAGCGTAGCGGTGGAGAGCGGCGTGGAGAGTGTCGCAGTAGAGAGCGTGGCAGTGGCAAGTGTCATGGTCGAGAGTGCCGCGATGGCGAGTGTCGCGGTGGAGAACGCCGCTGCGGCAAATGTCGCAGTAAAAAGCGTCGCAATGGAGAGCACAGTTGTGGCGATAGTCACGGTTGAGAGCTTGCGGTGTTAAGCATCGACGTAGAGAGTGTTGCGGTAGAGAGCGCTGCGGTGGCAAGCGTCGCGTTGGAAAGCATCGTGGTAGAGAGTGTCACGGTGGCGAGCGTAGCGGTGGAGAGTGTCACGGTGGCGAGCGTCGTTGTGGCGACCGTCGCGGTAGAGAGCGTCACGGTAGAGAGCGTCACCGTAGAGAGCGTCGCGGTAGAGAGCGTCGTGCTGGCGAGTGTTGTGGAGGCGAGCGTCATGGTAAGCAAGTGTCGCGGGAGCGAGCTTCGTGGTACCGAGCATGGCGGTCGAGAGCATCGCGGTATAAGCATCATCGTAAGCGAGCATCGCGTTAGCGAGCGTCTTGGTAAGTGAAGGTCGCCGTGGAGAGCGTCGCGTTGACGAACGTTGCTGCGGCGAGCATCGCTATGGAGAGTGTCGTGGTGGAGAGCATCGCGGTGGCGAGCATCCTGGTGGAGAGCGCGGTGGGGGACAGCGTTACAGTGGAGAGCATCGCGATAGACGGCATCGCATTGGCGACCATCACGGTGGAGAGTGTCGCCACGCGAGTGCCGCGGTAGGGAGCTTGGCGGTGGCGAGCATTGCGGTAGAAAGTGTCGCAGTGGCGAGTGCCGCGGCAGAGGGTGTCGCAGCAGAGGGCGTGATGGCAGCGGGCGTTGCGGTGGTGAGTGTCGCAGTGGTGGTGAGCGTCACGTAGGAGAGCGTCGCAATGGAGAGCATCGTGGAGGTGAGCGTTGTGGTGGTGAGCGTCACCTTGGAGAGCCTCGCTCTGGTGAGTGTCGCGGTCGAGGACATGGCCGTGGCGAGTTTCACTGTAGTGAGCGTTGCGGTGGTGAGCGTCGTGGTGGCGAGCGTTGCAGTGGTGAGCATTCCTCTAGAGAGCATCACGGTAGTGATTGAAGTTCATCGCGTGGTCGAAGCTCATCGCGTGGTCGAAGCTCATCGCGTGGTTGAAGTTCACCACGTGCTTGAAGCTCATCACGTGGTTGAAGCTCATCACATTGTGGATGGCTTCACAGGCACGGGTGATAATGCTGATGAACTATAATGCTCATGATGCTTGTAGACGAGCCGATGGACGGTGTATTGCTGATTATGGTGATGATGATGACACGACAGCGGTGATGCTGCTGCTGCTGCTCTTGGCGTTGATTCGAGCGGCTACGTTTCGAGCGGCGAGGGGGTCGGTGGGGTAGGGTTGGTGGGGAGTAGGGCTGGTGAGGGGAAGGGTTGGTGGGGGGGCGTTTGCGAGCACGTTTGGTTTTCGTTTGAGCTCGGATCCCCTCCCTTCCCCTCTCTGTTACTCGGAGCGCACAAAAGCTCGAGGCAATCCGACCGCAAATCGACGTTGCCTGTAAAATACATCCTGGAGATACAATCAGCCGGATGAAAAGTCCTCCCTCGCTGCTGCTGCTGCTCGCTGCTTGCTGTCACCGCCAAGTTAAATGTCACGAGAAGGGCCGTGCAGGCAACTTCGGGTTGCAGGGGGTTGAGATCCGAAACTCGGGTGCGATAGGAGGTGGGGAGGGGGGTCGAGGTTTTAGCTGCGCAGGAGCTGCAGCCCGAGTTCGCGTTCTGGATCGGGCAGGCCCCACGTGTGTCGCTCGCGTCGTGAGCACCGTGGCGTGGATGTTTCATCATCACCACCAACATTGTCATCACAACCATCATCATCATCATCATCACCACCATCATCACCATCACCCACCATCATCATCATGAGGGTGGTTGATGGTGGTGATGGTGATGATGGTGGTGGTGATCGTGATGATGATGGTGGCGGTGGAAATGATGATGGTGGTGGTGGTGGTGATGATGGTGGTGATGATGTTGGTGATGATAATGGTGGTGGTGGTGATTATGTTGGTGATGATAATGGTGGTGGTGGTGATTATGTTGGTGATGATAATGGTGGTGGTGATGATGATAATGATGGTGATGATGATGGTGGTACTGGTGATAATGTTGATGGTGGTGATGATGTTGGTGATGATAATGGTGGTGGTGGTGGTGATGATGATATTGATGGTGATGATGATGGTGGTACTGGTGAGGATGATGGTGGTACTGGTGATGATGGTGATGATGGTGGTGATGATGGTGATGGTGGTGGTGATGATGATGGTGATGATGGTGGTGGTGGTGGTGGTGATGTTGATGGTGATAATGGTTATAATGGTGATGGTGGTGGTGGTGGTGATGATGATGGTGGTACTGGTGATTATGATGGTGGTACTGGTGATGATGGTGATGGTGGTGATGATGATGGTGGTGGTGGTGATGATGGTGGTGGTGATGATGGTGATGGTGGTGATGATGGTGATGGTGGTGATGATGGTGATGCTGGTGGTGATGATGATGGTGATGTAGGTGATTATGGTGATGGTGGTGATGATGATGGTTGTTGTAATCCGCAGGCCTCACATCGCGGCAGAGCATCGCCCTCGTGGCTGTCGTTCTCAGCATCGCTCTCGTCGCCTCCCTGGCTCTGCGTATCCGGTGAGAGAGAGAGCCACCTCGGGGCAGGGGCAAAGGGCAAGGGTCAAGGGGCAAAGGGCAAGGGGTAAGGGGGAGGGGCAAGGGGGCAAAGGGCAAAGGTCAAGGGGGAGGGGCAAGGGAAAAGGGTGCAAAGGGCAAGGGGAGGGGCAATGGGGCAGGGTCAAGGGGCAAAGGGCAAGGGGCAAGGGGGAGGGGCAAGGGGGCAAATGGCAAGGGTCAAGGGGGAGGGGCAAGGGGGCAAGTGGCAAGGGGCAAGGGGGAGGGGCAAGGGTCAAGGAACAAGGGGCAAGGGGGCAAAGCGCAAGGGTCAAGGGAGAGGGGCAAGGGGAAAGGGGGCAAGGGGCAATGGGCAAGGGGGAGGGGCAAGGGGCAGGGTCAAGGGGCAAAGGACAAGGACCAAGGGGGATGGGCAATGGGCAAGCTGCTGCTCAGCGGTGGAGCGAGCGGCTCGCAATCAAAGGGCCCAAGTTCACATCCTGGTTGGGGCTGGTTGACTCAGCCCGCTCTTGCCCCCGCCATTTGAATGTGAAATTTACTTTACCAAGCTCAGGGCTGAAAACAGGTTCTGAGCATGGCAAAAAATAATGTGACTTTGATGTTTGTTGTTGTTGTTGTTGCTGCTGCTGAGAACTGGAATCGAACCTAGGGTGCTGGCACTCTGAGCCACCCGGCCTCTCCCTCCCCAGCTCAGGACAGACTCGGCCCCCGCCATAATAACATGGAATTCCCACACAGGGTTGTAAATAGAAGACGACCTGGAATCCCCCTAGAGGCGCAGAAACAAACGATCCGAAGCTTGGGTGCCAGGACGGGACGCGCAACACTGGTGCTGGCCGTGTGAGCGAAACGTCGGACTACCCGTTTCTAAGACGCTGTCAGATCGCTCTCTGCAACATCACCAACCACGGTTGGCGCCAGCTACTGCTGCTGCTGCTGGAGGCGGCATATGCATGTGGTCACGTTTGTTCATGATGAGACGACTTCGTGTAAGAAATTGTCTGCGTCGGGTGGTGGAGGGTTCACGAACATCGCGTCAGGGCCTCGGAGGCGCTCACGCCTGGGCTCTTTCCTCACTGCCACCTGGAGGTTCCTCAGAAGCTCCTGCGCTTCTGCCTTCTGACTTGTGTCCGTCCGTATGTACCGTATGTGTGCACGTGCAGTGACACACGGCACGGTCGCCTTCAACAATTAGGAGTCCTTATTCGTTAGGGGTCTTTATTGGGAGTCTTTATTCCTTCACGTGTTCTCCCACCCACCCGCGACCCTTATATATATCCCTCAAGCCCCCTTTGTCGAAGGTTCCTTGACGCGCGTCTCCTGCTCCTCAACTCCCTCCGCGCCCAAACTGTTCACAAAAAGATCTCAAACCGCTCCTCGAGCGCTCCCAAACCGCACCCGAACGGCTCGCCAACAGCTCCCGAATCACCCCGCACGCCGAGTGGGGGGGACGGGGTGGGGTGGAGGCCCCGCGTCCCTCCCTCCACCTCACACAGAGAGGCGGCCGCGTGGCTTGGAGGAGGCCAGTGGTCCCGCCTGAGCTGGCGACGCTGAGAGGCTACGTTCGAATCGTGGCTTTTAGCCACTGCCTGCGATGATGCCGACGACGATTATGATGCTGCTGCTGCTACTGATGATGATGATGATTATTCACTCGCTGAGCGCGCGCGCGTCTGTGCGTGCGTGCGTGCGTCTGAAAGCCTAGACCCGTAGTGGAGTCGGAGATCGTGGGATTTTCGGTCACCCGCAACTGGGGCGGGGGGTTGGGGGGAGGGGTTTGGGAGAGGGGTTGGGGGTTTGGGGGGAGGGGTTTGGGGGAGGGGTTTGGGGGGAGGGGTTTGGGGGAGGGGTTGGGGGGAGGGGTTGGGGGGAGTGGTTGGGGGGAGGGGTTTGGGGGGAGGGGTTGGGGGGAGGGGTAGTCAGCGTGGCGGGTGTCGGGATGGGAGTCAAGTTCGGGGTCAATCCGTCGAGCGAGGAGCGGGAGCTGGCGAGTGCGCAGGCGGTGCAACTGCCCCGTTGGTCCACGGGCTGGGGGGTGGGGGCCGCAGAAGCCGGGCTACGGAGACACGTGGTGGGGTGGGGGGGTTAAAAAATTGGACCGAGGACGGAGCGGGGGGCCGGTTGACGGATTTGAATTCCTTGTGTCGCCGGTCTGGGCAGGGGGACAGCCACGGCTTCGGATGGGGTGCGGGCACTGGCGGAGCCAGTGGGGGGGGGGGGGGGTGGGGTGGCACGTGCTCCCCTCCCCCCCAATGATCCGATCGAAATCCCTCATTTCGATCGGATAATTGGGGTTTATTAGTATTGGACCAGGGACTCTCTGAGATGATAGGACAATAGTCTGAGTCCATAATTGGCAATAAGTAACGGCAAAGCAGTTCTAAGCGACTCACAGAATTGTGCGAAGTTGCGTATACAGAGTCCACGACGTCCCTGAAGGCATCAACACCTTCAGCGAGCGCGACGCCGATCACACCACGTGGTTCGAATTCGACCCTCAATCGATGGCTGCGCCATTGCCGCACACGCGGCGAGTAAAAAGGCAAGGGACAAGTCCTCACTTACTAACAACTCCTTACTTACTAACAACTCCTTACTTACTAACAACTCCTCACTTACTAACAACTCCTCTATCATTTCTCATTGCTGGAGGGGGTTGCTCTTGGCTGCGGGGATGCGGGGGGGGGGGGGTCTGGGGACGACGGGGGGGGGCACCCCATGAGGGGTCTCACCGCGCCAACTTCGGTGGCGCCAAGGGGGGCGGTGTAGCCCCCCCCCCCAACTACCCCGGCTCCCTCCCCCTGGACGCGGGCCATGCAAAAGCTTGCGCCCCCAGTCCATGTCTGCGGGATGAACAACGCCGCCTCCCTCTGATGTGCAGCTCCCCCGTGGTGGTGGCTGGGGGGGGTGTGGGGATCGCGCGGCTTAGAGGCCCCGTGTATGGGCCTTGTCGCCCCCAGGCAATCGGCTGTCCCACCACCCGCTGTCGCCTCGTCACTCGCAGGCGAACGCAGCGGCTCACGGCCAACAGCGGGCGCTGAGCTAGCCCCTAAGGTCGACTCAGACTCAAATGAGTGCCTGGGTGCGCGTTGTTAAACACCGCCACTCGGGGAGACAAAGGCGGCCCGGAGTGATGCTGCCCAAGCCCAACCCCGTCATGGTGCCACAGTGCCGTCCTTCATAGGTGCTGCTACTCGCTGACAGTCGTGATGGTGGTTGTGGTGGTGGTGATTGTGGTGGTGGTGATTGTGGTGGTGGTTGTGGTGATGGTGGTTGTGGTGGTGATTGTGGTGGTGGTGATTGTGGTGATGATTGTGGTGATGGTGGTTGTGGTGGTGATTGTGGTGGTGGTGGTGGTTGTGGTGGTGATTGTGGTGATGGTGGTTGTGGTGGTGATTGTGATGGTTGTGGTGGTGATTGTGGTGGTGATTGTGGTTGTGCTGATTGTGGTGATGGTGGTTATGGTGGTTATTGTGGTGGTGGTTGTGGTGGTGATTGTGGTGGTGGTTGCGGTGATTGTGGTGATGGTGGTGATTGTGGTGGTGGTGATTGTGGTGATGGTGGTTGTGGTGGTCATTGTGGCGGTGGTGGTGGTTGTGGTGATTGCGGTGGTGATTGTGGTTGTGCTGATTGTGGTGATGGCGGTTATGGTGGTGATTGTGGTGGTGGTTGTGGTGGTGATTGTGGTGGTGGTTGTGGTGATTGTGGTGATGGTGGTTGTGGTGGTGATTGTGGTGGTGGTTGTGGTGATTGTGGTGATGGTGGTTGTGGTGGTGATTGTGGCGGTGGTGGTGGTTGTGGTGGTGACCACGCTGCACGTGACTGCCCGTTGTAGGAACCCAGCGCAGTGTGGAGGCAGCAGTGCGGGTGGGGGTTGGTGGATCACACACAGATGGCCTGGAAATCCCTTCCCGTGGGTGGATGTCGAGGAGGAGCCGTACCCCCTGGCTCGCCAGGAGAAGACAGTAGAGCAACGTGTCGACTAATCGCAATCTGTTTATTCCATCTGTACGAGTGGGGGGGGGGGGGGCGGGGGATAGAGCGTTGCCCCCTCTCGCGAGGCGTGGGTTGTCTCCGGGTGCTCCGGTCCCCTCCTCCTCCCCCCACGTGAATAATAAACACGACCACTCGTCATTCATCGGCTGTAAACATCTTTAATAACTAAACACACGATGTGGCAGCAGCAGAGTTTCCTGATCAAGAGTCCTGGCAACTCGGCATGGATCTCCTGGATAAATAAAAAAAGGGTCAACCATATTCTTATTTTTTTTCATCTCTCGCAATTTTGAAACTGGCAAAAAGGTCATTTCTACGGGAGCTTTTTTGCCAGTTTCAAAATAACGAGAGATAAAAAAATATCATAATATATCTGACACTGGTGCAGAGACTAGGCCATGAGAGAAGGCTGCTGTCTCTGTGTTGTAGGACAATCAATGCACACATTATTATTATTGTCATCAGAACGTGTTCGTTTGCATGTCTAGCCACAGACACGTGTGGTTAATGTAGGCTTCCCTTGCGATAGTTGTGTATATTTGGGTGTTTGGGCGTCTTAACACCTCCTGTTTTATTCCAGAAAGGGTAAAAGCTACTCTTATTTATGATACTTTGATACTGGCAAAAAAAAGCCCAGTAGATATAATAATTATTAATTATTAATCACATCCGTGGCGCAAGCGACGCGCCTGTAGGGCCCCGGCTGCTGACCACCCGCGCAGTCGTGGTTTAACAGGATAAAATTTATACGCCACAGAATGAATTATTAATTATGTGAATGATTTAGGCCGATATATGGAGTCGTTTGGCACGGTTTTGCCCATATAAGGATTACTGTAACGGGAATCGACGTATTGTGAACAGTTCAATGCTCAATTAAACGGGAATCGACCGATAAATTATATTTTGAATGCATATGTCGATGTGTTCGAGCATGGATCGGGCATGGATCGAGCATGGCTATATTTTGAATACAAATTTAGAAATCGTTAAAGTTATTCCTATCACGTGATTTTTTAAATTAAAAAAAACAACTATTTGTGGACAGCACCGTGATTTCTAGATCTAAAGACACGATTTGTGGATCTAGAAAGCCCATATTAGACCGCTCCTTGACGCTGATTGGCTTCCTTCTGTATTAACATAATTCATCATTCATTCTGCCGCGGATTCATTTGATCCTGTTACAGCGCTCCGAACCCACGTCCCCGTGCCTCCTCGCGCGCAGCTGCCAAGGCATAGGGCCCAGAACGCCAAGCGGCCAGCAACAAACACCGCCGCCAAAGATCCAACGGATAAGAGAGAGTTTAGCGAGGCTGCTTGGTGTCAGACATGGGGAGGGGGGTCGGTTGGGAGGGGAGAGGCGAGGCGATGATGATGGGGGTGGGGAGGATTCTGGAGAGAGGCAGTGCGAGGCGAAGGAGAAGAGTGAGAAGTGAGGTGGTCTGCAGTGTGGCGAGTGGTCGGGTGGGTGAGTGAGTGGCTGGGTGGATGGGTGAGTTAGTGAATGGGTGGGTGATTTGGTGAGTGGGTGAATGAGTGAGTGGGTGTGTTGGTGGGCGGGTGAGTGGGTGAGTGGGTGGGTGCGTGGATGGCTAAGAGAGTGGATGAGTGGATGGGTGTATATGCTCGTGTACCAGGTGGTGTGGAGTCATAGGTGCTGCTCGCTAACAGCACTTTCCCCAACATTTTGTTGGGGAAAGTGCTGTTAGCGGGGGGGGGGGGGGGGGTGGATCTTTGTCTTTGTTGAGGAGTTAGATTACTGGCCACGGCTCAACACCAGTGGCTGACATCTCAACCCACCCCTTGGGCGATTCGGTTTTAAATCGAACACCTGGTGCACTGCGTAAGCATTCGGCACTGGGGGGAGACAAAGACGGCCGGGCGGCGGGCCGGGCGTGAGTTTATTTTTTGTTTTACCCCGGCCACACCCCCCCCTCGTGGTGCTCGCAATCAACGGCGCTGCCCCCCCCTCCCCACTACGGGCCCGCTTTGTCTTCGCGGGGGGCCCCATTCTCCGTCTTCTCTCTCCCCCCCTGTGCCAGCTGGGTCCGAATCCGGCGCCGCCGCCGGACGCTGGCCCCGCGTGGTCCGGGCTTCGCGGGGGGGCGCCCCCACCCCCACCCGTGCGGATACGACCTCGACCTCGACCCCGACCTCGACCTCCTCGACCCGTGCGCCCCCCGCGTCTCCTCGGGCTCCCCGTCCTGCGACAGCGGCAGGGGCCTCTGCCCCCACGCTCTGCCCCCGCTTTCGCTGCCCCTGCCCCCTTCCCTGTCGCTGCCCCTCATGACCCCGCGGCGACCCCTCGCGCTCGACCTGAACCTGACCCCGCCGGAGCCTGGCTCGTACCCCGCACCGGGCCCGCCACGCTTCTCCCTCTACGGCCTGACCCCGAACGCCACCCCGGTGCCGACGCCCGCCACGCTGACCCCGACGCCGCTGGGCGGCTCCGGCGGGAGCTCCGCGGCGGGGATGCAGAGCGGGGGGCCCTCGCTGTCCCCCCACTCCCCGCACTCGCTACTGCTGAGCGCCGCTGCGCTGGCCGCAGGCGAGTGTCCGTCGCCTGGCACTGCTGCGGCGCTGCACCTCAACCAGCTGATGTGCCTGCACTGCTCCCCCGTGCAGCAGCAGCAGCAGTTTCAGCAGTTGCAGCAGCAGCACATGCAGCAGCAGATGCAGCAGCAGCATCAGCAGCAGCAACTGATGATTATGATGCAGCAGCAGCAGCAACAACAGCAGCAGCGGCATTCACCCATGAATGAATTCATGGCGGTGTCAGATGCGAGATTACACCCGCCTGGATTAGGCACTCCACCTCTCCACATGCAGAAACATCAGCAGCAGCAGCAGCTTCAGCAGCAGCAGCAGCAACTTCAGCAGCAGCAACAACTTCAGCAGCAGCAGCAGCAGCAACTTCAGCAGCAGCAGCAACTTCAGCAGCAGCAGCAACTTCAGCAACAGCAGCAACTTCAGCAACAGCAACAACTTCAGCAACTTCAGCAGCAGCAACAGCAGCAGCAACATCAGCAGCAGCACAGCATCGCTCTGCTCTCCTCCTCGTCATCCCCGTCTCCCGTGGTCGTGTCTACGCGTCGCTCCTCTTCCTCCGACTACGTCAACCTGCCGAGACTCCGCGGCTCCCCGAGCCAGGGTTTCGGGGTGCTCTACACCCCGCCAGGACCCCAGCCGTTCCCCAACGCCCTGCCACCACCGCCGCCGCCCCCAAAGTCGTGGTACGCGGGGGGCAGGCTGAGGCCCGGGGAAGCGAGCCGGGTTCGGCCTCTGTCGAGGGGCTTCTCCGAGCCGCGCACCTCGGGATCGCAAGTGCCCGAGGTGACCCCCTGCTCACCGGCGTCGGAACGGGGACTTCACTCTCACGAGTGGAACTCCCCCTCGAGGGAGGCGGTAAACTTTCAACACCATCACCACCATCATCGTCAGCGCCAGCAGCAGCAGCATCAGCAGCATCAGCAGAAGCTTCACCAGCAACGACTGCTTGAACAGCAGCAGCAGCAGTATCAGCAGCATCATTATCATCATCAGCAGCAGCAGCAACAACATCGCTACCCGGAGCACCACTCGCCCAAAGACGTCCCTGCCCTCCGAATGGGCAGTAACGGGGGCATCTCGGCACCCCCTGCCCGCACCGCGGGATTCCTCACCGAGTGCGAGGTGTTGGTGCACAGGGGGGCCGACGCCCAAGCGGGGGGCTCCAGTCCAGCCGTGAGCCCCCCACCTGAACCACAGCAGCAGCAGCCAACGCAGCAGCAGCAGGTGACCTCCACGGGACCCCAGGGCCCCGCTCTACGTCGGGGGAGGAGCAGGAGCCGACAGACGTCGCCTGGGAGGGGACCCGGGGCCCGGGGGTCCAGCCCGGCCACTGCGCTCCCCCCCGTGCCCAGCCCCCGCGCCTGCAGCTCCGCCTCGTCGCGTTTCTCCTACAGAGGCGACTGCGGCTTGCAGAGGTGGGTCGGGGGGAGGGGTGGGGGTAGTGGGGGACCGGTGCGGGGGGGGGGGAGTTGGTGGAGTTGGTGGAGTTAGTCGAGTTGGTGGAGTTGGTGGAGTTGGATGGTGTTGGTGGAGTTAGTCGAGTTGGTGGAGTTGGTGAGTTGGTGGAGTTGGTGATGGTGGAGTTGGTGGAGTTGGTGGAGCTAGTTGAGTTGGTGGAGTTAGTCGAGTTGGTAGAGTTTGTGGTTTTGGTGGAGTTGGTTGAGTTGGTGAAGTTAGTCGAGTTGGTGCAGTTGGTGGAGTTGGTGGAGTTTGTGGAGTTGGTGGAGTTTGTGAAGTTGGTGGAATTCGTCGAGTTGCTAGAGTTGGTGGAGTTGGTGGTTTTGGTGGTGTAAGTCGAGTTGGTGGAGTTGGTGGTTAGTCGAGTTGGTGGAGTTGGTCGAGTTGGTGAAGTTGGTCGAGTTGGTGGAGTTGGTGGATTTAGTCGAGTTGGTGGAGTTGGTGGAGTTAATCGAGTTGGTGGAGTTGGTGGAGTTGGTGGAGTTTGTCGAGTTGGTGGAGTTGGTGGATTTGGAGGAGTTGGTGGAGTTGGTGGAGTTGGTGGAGTTAGTCGAGTTGGTGGAGTTGGTGGAATTGGTGGAGTTTGTGGAGTTGGTGGTGTTGATGTTGGTGGAGTTGGTGGAGTTAGTCGAGTTGGTGGAGTTGGTGGAGTTATCTTCTTTGGTTCTTTCGGTAAAGTCACGTAGAATGAGAATAAAATAATAAATTGATAAAATAAAATAACACAATAATATTCTCACGACGACCTGCTTGTCAGTTTTGATGTGGTGTCCTTGTTCACCAAAGTCCCGGTACCTGACACCATCGCTATCATTGAAGACCTGGTTCATCAAGGACTGCACACTGATGTACCCCCCCTGGTGAGACATTGCTTAACCAACACATACTTCACCTGGAATGGAACTTTCTACAAACAAACTGAGGGCACCCCAAAGGGCTCCCCCCTATCTCCGGTTGTAGCCAACGTATTCATGGAAAAATTTGAAACTGACGCCATCCAGACTGCCACTCTACGCCCGACCTTATGGAAGAGGTACGTGGATGACACCTTTGTCATCTGGCCACATGGCCAGCCTGCTCTAGACCAATTCCACGACCACATCAATTCCATACACCCAGCCATCAGATTTACCATGGAGGTCGAAAAAGATGGCAAACTACCCTTTTTGGATGTCTTAATTAAAAGGAGACATGATGGTTCAATGAGCCACTCTCTCTACAGGAAAGTTACCCATACAGATGCTTACTTGAAACCGGATTCCCACCACCATCCATCCCAGAAGAACTCCCTCATCAAGACTCTATACCATAGAGCCCAATGCATTTCCGACCAGGAACACATTACCAGTGAACTCAAGCACGTACACCAGGCTCTCAGGGCTAATGGTTACTCCGACTACACAATCCGCAAAGCCATCACTCCAGTCATGAAGAAGGATTATCTTGTGGAACCACTCAAAACCATCACCTTACCCTACATTGCAGGGGTCACTAAACAGATCTCCAAAATCCTGAATCAACACAAGATCCAGGTCCGATTCAGTAGCTACATTGGAGAAACCAAACGACATATCTCGGACCGCATCCGTGAACATAAAGCAGACTTAAAACACGGTAGGACGAACTCCTCTGCCGTGGCAGATCACTGTTATAATTCAGTGGGCTCACATGACATTGACTTCTCCAAGACGGAGGTTCTTTGCAAACCAACCGGCTACCATGAGAGATTCGTTCATGAGGCCATTCACATATACAAGCACAGAGACAATTTCAACCGAGAAGATGGATTCTGGCTTAGTAACCATTGGAAAGATGTTTTAAACCATTTCCGTTCTTAATTAGTTGTATTTTACGATGACCTTCAGACTGCAGCTCTTTCACCAGCATTGACTCTTAATACCTCTCACACCACGGTTAATGGTATGGTTTACAACATGGAGTATAATAGCGCCTCGCAGCTGTCTCTCTCCCCCTCCTCTGTTCCGACCTTGGATGAACTCGTCCGTCTGAACGGGGCCCGTAGCTATCTGTGTTGCTAAAGTTGAGGGTAAGAATCCACCCATTTTTTCGCCATATAGCATTGTGATATATAACGACTTATTGTTGGTAGCTTAGCTGATTGGAGAATATAGAGTTTATTGATAACACTAAGGTAATTTATATTTTAGTTTTTTATTGGTTCACTATATAGTATTCATTATACATTGTATTGTATACCCAGTTACTGTGAATAGCTCAGATGTGTAGACCTTGACTTCAACATAGCCATTTATGTGACCAGTCACTAGCTAATCACTCAGTTATTTCAATGCTAAATTCGCCTAGTTATTTCAATGCTAAATTCTCCTGTTTGATTTGTACTAGGTGCCTCGGTGAATGTGTATGCTCTGACTTTAAACATAGCTATTTCTGTGACCAGTTACAAGCTAATCACTCAGCTATTTCATTGCTAAATTCTATGCTAATTCCTTTGTCAAGGGGTGCCTCTGCGGATGTGTATGCTTTAACTTAGCTATTTCAATGCTAAATTCTATGCTAATTCCTTTGTCAAGGGGTGCCTCTGCGGATGTGTATGCTTTAACTTTAACATAGCCATTTCTGTGACCAGTCACAAGCTAATCACTCGGCCATTTCAATGCTAAATTATATGCTAATTCCTTTGTCAAGGCGCTTTGTTTCTTCTGACACAGCTTAAAGGTCATGATCTGAACGTGGCTTTTTTCACTCCAGCGCTGTCCTACCAGACAGTCTCGTCCCTTCACCTGATGAAGGCCGCTTGTGTTGTGGCCGAAACGTCGTGAGAATATTATTGTGTTATTTTATTTTATCAATTTATTATTTTATTCTTATTCTACGTGACTTTACCAAAAGAACCAAAGAAGATGAATCCTTGCAGTCACGAAAGCTTTAAATCGAAAATTTGGTGGAGTTAGTCGCGTTGGTGGAGTTGGTCGAGTTGGTGGAGTTCGTCGAGTTGGTCGAGTTGGTGGAGTTGGTGGAGTTGGTCCAGTTGGTGGAGTTAGTCGAGTTGGTGGAGTTCGTGCAGTTGGTGGAGTTTGTCGAGTTGGTGGAGTTGGTGGAGTTGATGGAGTTAGTCGAGTTGGTGGAGTTGGTGGAATTGGTGCAGTTGGTGGTTTTTGTGGAGTTTTTCGAGTTGATGGAGTTGGTGGAGTTAGTGGAGTTATTCGAGTTGGTAGTGTTGGTGTAGTTGGTGGAGTTAGTCGAGTTGGTGGAGTTTGTGGTGTTGGTGGAGTTTGTCGAGTTGGTGGAGTTGGTGGTTTTGGTGGAGTTGGTGGAGTTGGTGGTGTTGGTGGAGTTGGTGGAGTTAGTCGAGTTGGTGGTGTTGGTGTAGTTGGTGGAGTTAGTCGAGTTGGTGGTGTTGGTGGAGTTGGTAGAGTTGGTGGAGTTAATCGAGTTGGTGGTGTTTGTGGAGTTGGTGGAGTTAGTCGAGTTGGTGGAGTTGGTGGAGTTGGTGGAGTTGGTGGAGTTAGTCGAGTTGGTGGAGTTGGTGGAGTTGGTCGAATTGGTGGAGTTGGTTCAGTTGGTGGTTTTGGTGGAATTTGTCGAGTTGGTGGAGTTGGTGTACTTGGTGCAGTTGGTGGTTTTGGTGGTGTTAGTCGAGTTGGTGGAGTTAGTCGAGTTGGTGGAGTTGGTGGAGTTGGTCGAGTTGGTGGAGCTGGTGTAGTTAGTCGAGTTGGTGGAGTTGGTAGAGTTAGTCGAGTTGGTGGAATTTGTGGAGTTGGTAGAGTTTGTCGAGTTAGTGGAGTTGGTGGTGTTGATGTAGTTAGTCGAGTTGGTGGAGTTGGTGGAATTGGTGAAGTTGGTGGTTTTGGTGGAGTTTTTCGAGTTGGTGGAGTTTGTCGAGTTGGTAGTGTTGGTGTTGTTGGTGGAGTTGGTGGAGTTAGTCGAGTTGGTGGTGATGGTGGAGTACGTTCAGTTGGTGGTTTTGGTGGAATTTGTCGAGTTGGTGGAGTTGGTGGGGTTGGTCGAGTTGATGGAGTTGGTGGAGTTGGTAGAATTTTTCGAGTAGATGGAATTGGTGGAGTTAGTGGAGTTATTCGAGTTGGTAGTGTTGGTGTAGTTGGTGGAGTTAGTCGAGTTGGTAGTGTTGGTGGAGTTGGTGGAGTTAGTCGAGTTGGTGGAGTTAGTGGTGTTGGTGGAGTTAGTCGAGTTGGTGGAGTTGGTGGAATTGGTGGAGTTGGTGGAGTTGGTGGTGTTGCTGGAGTTGGTGGATTTAGTCGAGTTGGTGGTGTTGTGTAGTTGGTGGAGTTAGTCGAGTTGATGGTGTTGGTGGAGTTGGTGGAGTTGCTGGAGTTGGTGGAGTTGGTGGAGTTGGTCGAGTTGGTGGAGTTGGTGGAGTTGGTGGAGTTTGTCGAGTTGGTGGAGTTGGTGGAGTTGATGGAGTTAGTCGAGTTGGTGGAGTTGGTGGACTTGGTGCAGTTGGTGGTTTTGGTGGAGTTTTCCGAGTTGGTGGAGTTGGTGGAGTTAGTGGAGTTATTCGAGTTGGTGGTGTTGGTGTAGTTGGTGGAGTTAGTCGAGTTGGTGGAGTTGGTGGTATTGGTGGAGTTAGTCGAGTTGGTGGAGTTGGTGGAATTGGTGGAGTTGGTGGAGTTGGTGGTGTTGCTGGAGTTGGTGGAGTTAGTCGAGTTGGTGGTGTTGGTGGAGTTGGTCGAGTTGGTGGAGTTGGAGGAGTTGGTGGAGAATTTCGAGTAGATGGAGTTGGTGGAGTTAGTGGAGTTATTCGAGTTGGTAGTGTTGGTGTAGTTGGTGGAGTTAGTCGAGTTGGTAGTGTTGGTGGAGTTGGTCGAGTTGGTGGAGTTGGTGGAGTTGGTGGAGTTATTCGAGTTGGTAGTGTTGGTGTAGTTGGTGGAGTTAGTCGAGTTGGTAGTGTTGGTGTAGTTGGTGGAGTTAGTCGAGTTGGTGGAATTGGTGGAGTTGGTGGAGTTGGTGGTGTTGC